TCAACGTCATGAACCGTGGCGATGATACTCCCCTGCACCTGGCCGCCAGCCACGGCCACCGGGACATCGTCCAGAAGGTAGGGGGCTGGAGGGTCCTTCTGGGCCTGGGGCCTTTTTTTGTCCACCCCCCCTGCACTGGTCCGACCTGGCCTCCTGCTGGAAGAGGGGAGGCAGCGCGACCACCACGGCCCTTGGGGCCAGCTGCTTTTCCAGCCCTTCTTTGCTCTCCTCAGCTCATCCAGTTCAAAGGGGACATCAATGCCGTGAACGAGCACGGGAACACCCCACTTCACTACGCCTGCTTTTGGGGCCAGGAACCACCACGGCCCTTGGGGCCAGCTGCTTTCTGCTTGGGGCCAGCTGCTTTTCCAGCCCTTCTTTGCTCTCCTCAGCTCATCCAGTTCAAAGGGGACATCAATGCCGTGAACGAGCACGGGAACACCCCACTTCACTACGCCTGCTTTTGGGGCCAGGAGCAGGTGGCCGAGGTGAGGGCCGAGAGCACGCCCGTCTGGAGGCTGCCTTGAGATGTGCCGTGGTTGGTTGGCTGGCTGGCTGGGGCGGTGTGGCGCTGAAGGGGGCAGGCGAGCCGGGGGCCCTGCGGGGAGGGGGCTGCCCTCCTGCCAAGACCTCTGGCCGGCGTGACCCGCTCTGTCCTCGCCAGGACCTGGTGAGCAGCGGGGCGCTTGTCAGCATCTGCAACAAATACGGGGAGACCCCTCTGGACAAGGCCAAGGCGCCCCTGCGGGACTTGCTGAAAGGTAAGAGACGTCTGGGGGCAGCCGAGCCGGAAAGGTGTTGCTCGCTGCCTCCTGCCCCACAGCCCCCCTCCCCCCCGGGTGCCGGGCTAGGTGCAGGTGCATATGAGCAGCATGCTGGCTGCAGCGCCTTGCTTGGAGAAGGCCTCGGCGGAGCTGGATGCCGTGCCCGGGGGGGCTGGGTGCCTTGGGGGGAGGGGGGGGGGGGGTCCGAAAGGGATGTTTGACCAGGAGGCCAGTGGGGCAGTCTCCCTCTCTCCGGCCCCTCCCGCCATTCGGGGTGTGTGTGTGTGTGTGTGTTTCCTGACTCTTCTCTCCCCCCACAGAAAGCACAGAGAAGCTGGGCCAAAGCCTGACCCGCATTCCATACAAAGACACCTTCTGGAAGGGCACCACACGGACACGACCCCGTAAGAGGCCTTTCCCCCAACTTTGGGGGCGGGGCGGGCCTGGGCCAGGAGGTGTATGTTTGGGCCCCTCCTCCTCCTCCTCCTCCTCTTGAGACCCGGCCTTCCTGTGTCTTCCAGGCAACGGGACTTTAAATAAACTGGCCGGGATCGACTTCAGGCAGCTGAGCCTGGGCCACAAACTCAACGAGAACCAATCAGGAGAGGTGCTGAACTTCCCCCTCCCCCCCCCACCGCCTGGGGTGGGCGAGAGGGAGGCTCCCCGTGGAGCGTGTCTGTCCCCCTCCCCCACTGGCCACGCGCTCCATCCGTCC